TGTGGTCACCACCAAGCTTACAAGATACCAAGCAGCAGAGTTGAGGTTCCAATCCCGGGCCTGACTAACATCCAAGTCTGAGATCTTTCTTCCGAAAGATGCTGAGGTCTCATAAGGAGCTTTAGTTTCACCAAGCTGAAGTTGTTGAGATCTGGCTTTTGAGGAAATGAAGCTTCTGAAGAACCACAGGAAAACGGAGGAAATGGTTTTTGTGCAAGAGAGCAACATCCCAGTGATTCTAGGATCCTCGTAAGGGAGATTGAAAGTTCTTTTGGAGAACTTGTCTCTGAAACCAGACTCTGATCACCAGGTTCTTAGCTTTGGGTGGTACTAATAAAGTCAGCAACTTCTAACTCATTCCATGCCTAATAGGAATAGACAGCTCTTCTTAGAATTTTCAAAACAGAAGACTCTACAGGATTTGTCCACACACAATGAAAGCAAGTAGTGATATGGTGTTACAACTAGGCCACATTTAATAATATCAAAAAGATTGTCACTCCAGTTAGCCAGAGTCCTGGTCAGGATGGAATAATGACATGCCCCTGTAAAGAAAACCAGTCAACAAAACAAGAAAAGGTTGAGAGTAGATGATTAGGAAATAGCATTTTTAAATTACAAGAATAAAAGAGTAGAAGTATCATAAAAATGTTATTAATCAACAGGATAGATTTCTGTTTTATAGCTAAAATCTAACACTGCGTATACATTTTTGATTGTAAAAAGTGACACAAGGCTAAATCATAATACTATGAATCGATAACTAATTAGCATTTATAAATGCAGCTACTGGGAAACATATTTCAATTTCATAGCAAGGCAGCTAGAGAATAAATGGACAAAGCCAAGAGTGACGAAGCCCAGGCTTGGCTTGTCCTGCACAACTCCACAGGTGACATGTAGAACTGCAAGTGGAGTCAAAGTTGTGTCCCCAAAATGTACAAGCCCAACCTGATGCCGTGATCTCAAGCCAAGCCAATAATTCAGACACACAGAGACAGGATGAGGCGCACAGTGCTCGGGTTCCCACCAAAACCCACGAAGGTCGTCTTCTGGGGGCAGTTTTCCCAGATGGCATAATAGAGATGAGTGAGACAGAAGGAAAAGGCAACGGGAGAAAATGGAGAATGTAACCTCGCGAGACAGGATTTGTTGCACATGTAGGGTTTGGGAAAGATGCAAAGGTTCATGGCTTAGGTACACTGACTTTCTGGTAAGGGCGATGGGAACGGATAGTGGTGATGGCTGCACAATATGAGGAACGCAATTAATGTCACTGAATTGTACATGGAAAAAAATGTTGATATGGCAATTGTTTTGTTATATATATATATATATATATATATACTTACCTCAATTTGAAAAAAAAAAAAAGGTGCATGTGTCCGATATACTTGTAAAAGCTGATTCCAGAAGACAGATGACTTCCAGTTTGGCATAGTTTACTCCCTTCAGACTTAGCATATGTTAGGAAGAAGACAGGAGCCTGGTGGTGCAACAGTTAAGAGCTTGGCTGCTAACTGAAAGGCTGGAATTTTGAACCCATTCAGTGGCTCCGCAGGAGAAAGACCTGGTGATCTGCTCTGGCAAAGATTGTAGCCTAGAAAACTCTATGAGGCAGTTCTACTCTGTCACAGGGGGTCACTATAAGTCCAGATCAACTCGATGGCACCCAACAACACAACAACAGGAAGAAGATTGAAATGCATTTGTTAAAATGAGCAAACTAATTTGCCATAGCCTCTAGTATGTGCTGGTTTCCTGATATGCTGCTGCTGAGTGTTGACATGATCTGATTCCATATCAGCCACATGCGGTAATCTTCTTATTCCCCAAGGGCCACCCAAGAGTCTAAATGACCCTCTGAGGTATAAGCCAGGGAGTAAGGGGAAAAAGGGGAAGGATTAAAATATATAAAGAAGAGTAGAAGTGGAGAAAACGATATGTGAGAAGAAAATGCAAGGGTAAAGAGTAGCATGTGAGTGGAAAAAGTAGGGTGTTGTATCCTGCATTTTTTTATGCTACATAGATCCTGGCAAGCCTTGAGCATCACTGTTGTTGTTAGCTGCCACGGAGTTGGCTTCCAACTCATGGCAACTCTACGCACAACGGAATGCTGCCTGATCCTGCACCATCCCCATAACTAGTTGCAGATCAGACTATTGTGATCCATTGGTTGATTTTCAGAAGTAGATTGCCAGGTGTTGTATATATACTTACCTCAACTAAAAGTCCTAGTCCAACTTAGTCCGGAAGCTCTGCTGAAACCTGTTCAGCATCATAGCAACACACAAGCCTCCACTGACAGAGGGGTGATAGCTGCACATGAGGTGCGTTGGCTGGGATTCAAACCTGGGTCTCCCATATGGAAGATGAGAATTTGACCACTGAACCACCACTGCCCTCACTAGAGAAGAGAAAAGCATTTTCCACACCTCCTGGCACACCCACGTGGTATAGTAACCTCCTTCAAGGCACAGGTCAGTTCACATCAATATTTCATTAAGTCATAGACTCATTCCAGCAAAGCTCTGAAAAGCCTTGACAGATCACGGTGTCAATTTACATAAAGTTCACATTATAGTCAGGCTGCATTATCAAAGTCTTCAACAGAGGCTCTCCTTGGCATTGCAGACCATCCGCCATGTTAGTTTCCCCAACTGGTTGGTGCAATCATAGATTGTCTCACGAGATCCTAGGTTCTTTCCATTCCCAGAGCTTAGGTCTTGCCTCCTCTTTGGGAGTCACCAGCTGCCTCTTAGTAAAAAGTGGTCATCGGTATCTACATCTGACTTTGGAGACTTTCATGCCACTTCCCCTCCTATCCAACGTGACTTCCTTTTCAGACCTTCTGTGGTCCCCCAAGATTGGGTTAGAAAGCCTCGTCTCTGCTCCCATAGCACACAGTACATCCCTGTACCCTGGAACTGACCACCCTCTTACAGGGTGGCTCCCCTACTAGAATGGGATCTCCTCGAGGGCAGAGATTGAGTCGTAGTATTCCAGTGCCAGGTACAGTATCTGACACATAATTGGAGCTCAATAAATAATGTGCAACAAAACCAACACATGAATGCTCTTCACCTTTAGAAATGACAGAATCATATTACAGTAGCTAATGAAGCTCGCTCTCTAAAGCAAACTTTTGTGTCAATGGATAAACCCTCCAATTACTCATCAAAATTTTTTCTTTCAACCAAGGCTCAGCAACTGGAATATACAACACTTAAGTCATATTTTATTACTATCTTCCTCAGACTTACTGATAATTTTAAAGCAATAGCTGTATTTTAGTCAATGATTGAGTCTCAGAAGCAAAGCTCTGCCGTTTAAAATCCTAACATTTGCCATTTCGTTTCTCCTTCTGTCCCGTCACAACTATCAAGGAACTTTTATCCACAAATGGCAAGTGCTTTATATTATGGCTGACTGCTCCTTCCCCAGCTGCTGATTTTCCTAGATCTCTCTCACGTGAGTAGCCAACCAGGGTTGGACAGGAGGCTCCCTCCCTCCACGTACATTTCCACAAGGACAAGTGCCCAGGCCACTGTTAATCTCCTTCATCATGGTAAGGTGTAAAGTTTTCAGGTGGTCCTCCAGGTCACCAACCACAAATGGTTGCTCTCCAGGGCATTACGAACTTGAACAAAGTAACATCTTTCTCAAGATATAAACATACGCCTACTTTTCCTTTTTGAGAGAAGCAGCTCTATTATCTATATAGCTACGTTCTTGCGTACAAATCCCTTGCAAATTTATTTTTCAAATTCCAAGGTTCATGAATTTAATTGAATCTGTTCCTAATTTTTAATTAAATCTGCATTTCTCCCAGTAACCTTTGGAAGGAGATAGAAGTCACATCACCATATTGGAGAGAGCGGGATCACACAGTAAAACAGGCACAAAAGAGAAGCACAATATCATAAGGCAGGTTTTCATATAAATTTATTTTTGTACCAAAAACTAATATTCAAAGGCAATGTTTTTATTGTACAGTATAAAATAATATCCACTAAGTTAAAAATTGTATTTTTTTTTGCTATAAGCCACTGATAATGTTTCCATTAAAAGTAACACAAAATTTACAGTTTGCAGCACTTGTAGAAAACACACATGTTCAATAATTATATAAATACTCTTGACAGATTTCAGTAGCCCATTATGTATCCTTTTTGGCAATGCCAGCTTTCTAAAGTCAATTAGCTTCTAAATTTGAAAAGGCACCTGGTGGCCAGCATCTTGTTTATTACTCAAGGCATCCATTTTATTTATTTATTTTGCACAGACTTGACAAGTCTGAAGACTCTGTTAAGTTAAAAAGAATGAGGAAATATAATACATTTGATATTCGCAAACAACACTTTTTCCCCCTTAGCTGCAAGTTTCCCCCAGGGGATTTGCAAAGTGCACCAGTTAAATATGTCTGTACATTTAAAACATTAAATATGTCAACAGCAAGACATTTTAAATATTTCGAACCAAATACTATAGCACAAATATAATTTACAATACTTTGCACAGAAAACATTACATCTGAAATATAACTTTAGACATTATATAAAAATACATATATTTTCTCCCTTGTTCGAAAAAGTATTTGCAGGTTCCAGCATGATGTAACAATTCAAAAGAACTGAATCCTTCAGATGATTGTCCTTTTGCTATTAAGATGACACCTTCTCCACTTCAACTGCATAGAGGCACACAACCAGGGGGGGCTGTTGTTAGCTGCCCTCAAGTTGATTCCAATTCATGGTGACCCCACGGATGCAGAGTAGAACTGCTCCATAGGGTTTTCAAGGCTATGACTTTCAGAAGCAGATCACCAGGCCCGTCTTCTAAGGCACCTCTGAGTAGATGTGAACCCCCAATCTTTCAGCGAGTAGTTGAGCGCTTAACTGTTTGCACTGCCCAGGACTCCTAACCAGGGGCTAGATGCAGACAATTAATGCCCACGCCCCAGTAGCCCAAATGCATCTTCTCATAAGGCCAACCATCACTGCTGCAATCTGGTTTAATTCTAGGAATTCATTACAAAATTTAAAAACCATTGTGTAAGTAAGAAAGCCTTTAGACTGGAACACACCTAGAGTCCAACATCTCTCATTGGCTGTAAATACATATGCTCTCTACAAGGTCAAGAGTGTGGATAGAGAGTCTTATTGTACCATTGTGGCCATACCTCTCAGTAGTCTCACACACCTATATACATCTCTCTTGGCTTACTTTTTTTAAAAAAAGTTTACACACATCCTAGGAAATACATGATAACGTTCCACAAAACAGGGCTCAATCTATATCTCGAACTTTAAAAGCCCCAAAGTAAGTTGCATCTTGGTCTGGATCTAGTAGGGAAGGGTTGGATACCTGGATGCTTATTTCTTCACCAGATCGTAGCTTAAAAAATCCTCCAACATTTATGGAATAAAAATGGAATTCCGAATTTCCAGACCAGTATTTGGTGCTTCCTCCTTTCATCAGGGTATGAGAACTCGGGATTTTGATGCTGGTTTTAGTGACGTACACCATCAGCTGAAGATACTCCGTGGCTAGGTCTCCTGATGTTTCATGATGCCGAAAGCAGATGTTGGCATACAGGTAATAAAAGCCATCTTGATTAACGATCAGTTTCCCATTCCTGAAAGTCATGTTGGAGATCTTTGCCCAACCTCGGTCATGGTGCCAAGAGGAAAGACTCACTTTGTGAGAACCTGAGGAGAGAAAAGGTGCATTAAAGTCAGCCCCTGTGTGAGGAGGACAGCCTCACGGTTCCATGAGCCTGCAGAAAAACACAGCATACCAGTCGTTATTCCAGTGGCAGAATAACTTCTCAGAATTTATTTTCTAAATAGAGAAATACATTCAAATACACTTAGTGCTTTCTGCTAAGCACTTTCAAGAGTTGTTGTTGTTAGGGGCTGTTGAGTCAGCCCCCCACTCATGGCGACCCCATGCACAATGGAACAAAACACTCCCCAGTCCCGTGCCATCCCCATGACCAGTTGTGGATTGGACTACTGTGATCCATGGGGTTTTCACTGGCTGATTTTCAGAGGGAGATCACCAGGCTCTTCTTCCTTGTTCCTCGTAGTCTAGACTGATAGATGGGTGATGGCTGCTCATGAGGTGCACTGGCCAGGAATCAAATCTGGATCTCCTGCATGGAAGGTGAGAATTCTACCACTGAACCACCAATCCCTCAGCATGAATAGGCATAGTGGGAAAAAGAGGGGAGAAAAGTATGCTGGGATCAGGTTGAAGGGTTTCACATGGCAAACCTGGATTTCCAGCACAGAGGCATGCTGACCACCTCTTATCACAGACCCTCAGTCCCCACTGTTAGGTGTTGGAGAAGTTGTTGTTACTGTTAGTTTCTATTGAGTCAATTCCAACTCATGGCAACCCCATGTGTGCAGAGTAGAACTGCTCCATAGGGTTTTCAAGGCTGTGACCTTTTGGCAGCAGATCGCTAGGTCTGTCTCCCGAGGCACTCTAAGTGGGTTCAAACTGCCAACCTTTCGACTAGTAAGTAGTCAAGCTCTTAACCATTTGTGCTGCTCAAGGACTCCCGTTGGAGAAGAGGCCTCTGCAAATGTTTCATCTGAGGATGCCCCTGAAGGAAGCCACGTATTCTGGCCTCATAAAATACTTCCCAATGCGCTGGGTTCAAGAAGCTGTGAAAATGCACAAGCTAATAGTCAATACAAGGCAGATTCTGATTTCTTATGTATCAATGAAGTATAAAACAGAGCTCCAAAACGAACACGCAAACTTAAAGCTATCTTCCCCTGAAGTATCCAGTACTGGCCAAAACTGGGAGACAAATGGACTCGGGGGATTCTTGGCTCAGCCAGAGCCACAAATTCTACTTTCTTCACCAGATGCATACACCAAATCATTTCACTCAGTCACAAACTCAATAACCCTCAGAAAATCACCAGTTTTGCCTCTTTTTTTTTTTTTGGCAATGATTTTGATGCTAGGTGCCTGCAGAGAGAGCTTTACAACTAAAACATGCTTGCTATTGCCAAAAAAACTTTGGCACACAGTCTAATATTTATGATATGCCATTTAAAGGAAACTGAAAAGATAAATGCAGACTACATTCATAGCACACACAGCTGATGCCACTGTATTAATTTGATTGCCTTTGCTCAATGCAAACTAGTTCTCTACTCAGAAAGCTATGTAGTTCTACCATAAAATACATGCACACACCCGTACACACACACAATTTGTTTATGAAGCAAGTATCTAGGATGGGCTGGATAGTTTAGGAAAATACTCTCAAAGCCAAAAAGCTGCCTTCTCATGTTCTCTGTCTTCAGTCAGGAAAAGTCCCTGCCCGTGCTATCATAAAGGCTGGGTGATGGAGGTAGTTTGCAATCAGCTGCTAACCTAAAGGCTGGCTGTTCGAACCCACCCAATGGTGACACAGAAGAAAGGCCTGGTGATCTGCTTCCATAAAGGTAACAGCCAAGAAAACCCTATTGCGCAGTTCTACTCTATAACACACGGGGTCACCATGAGTTAGAATCCACTCTATGGTAATGAGTTTGGGTTTTCGGGTTTGGTCCTATGGTAATGGCTTCAAAATTATTTATTAAATCTTGGATTTTTTGTTTTTTAACTGAAAAAAGAAAATGTGCCTCAAATCACTTTTAGATCAAAGTGGATTGTGTATAATTATTTAATTAAACTCAAATAATAATAGCAAATCACATTCCCTGAGTGCTTACACGCTGCCAGCTTTCATAACTACCATATGAGGTATACTATTGTGATCCCCATTTTATACATGATGAAGCTGAGGCACAAATGACTCCAAGAATTTGCAAAAGGCCACATAGTAAGTAGTATGATGGGGCCCCAAAGGCAGGCAGTTGGATTTTAGAGCCCTGCTATTTAACACTACACCAATCTACTTCTTACAAGAAAAGAGGAACGTAAAAGCTTTGAATCTGAGGAGTTCTCTCTGACACCTTGTGGCCTGCTTATATGATAATGTGTAGTGTAAAATGCACAGGCTTTGCAGTCCACTAGATTGGCATTCAACTTCTAATTGTGCCGCCAGCATGACCTTGGGCAAATGACAGCCTATGTGAACCTCGGTTTCTCTGTCTGCGAAATCTGAATGACATTGTCATGGTTTACAATTTCCATGGTTATAGTACAGATTAGAAGAAGAAAGCTCTGGCGATCTACTTCCAAAAGATCACAGCTAGAGAAAACCCTAAGGAGCGACAGTTCTACTCTGACACACATGGGGTCCCCATGAGTTGCAAATGACTCAATGGCAACTGGTTTGGTTTTAGTAAAGATTAGAGATAATGAACACAGAGCAAAATACCTGATACATGGTAGGTGTCCAAGAAATTGCAAAATAATAGCAATGATGTCTAATTATTATTCTATCATAATGTTCTTTGTAATCTTTTTGACACTTACTATCCCCAGGTGAAGTAACCATTGGGGATTATATGAAAGAGCTGGTGCATTAAAGACATGTAGCACTGAGCTCTGGATTTTCTTATTCCCAAAAGATAATCAGACCTCCAGAACACTGAGTTTGTCTTTCCCAGAGAAAATGCTAAGCACCTGGAGAAGGGGAAGGCTGTCTCATTTTCCACAGCTACAGCCTCTTCCAGGTTACTCTGCTGAGCCCTTATCTGGGACTCTGCAGGTGATAGCTGAGTATAAGACTAACTGGATGAATCCACTCACCTCAAGGTGAGCAATGGGGCTGTGTCAGCTTTAGCTTGGATTTGCAGAAAAGCATAACAAGGGACTGCCTTCCTATTAGGCACACACAACCCGCAGTCATTTAAAGTAAACACCCACTCTGTTTATCTGTAAATGAATGTAATAATGATGTCCATTCTGGGATGACTGAGAATCACTGTTTCCAGGGTGTCAACTTGAGTGTGGATCATCAATCTCAAACTAAATCACCTTTCTTTCAGTCTAGAAGTTAAGTGCTCTCAAAAATCTTGTAACAGGATGTGGGGTAAAGCATCTACCTAGCTTTACCCAAAGTAAGGTGGCCTTTGTTTCTGGTATATGTGAAATAACCCTTGGAGCAATTGGGATGCCTAAGCCTGGAACTTCCAGGCCACACTGGAGCATTCATGCTGAGCATGGCCTGGCCAGACCAGAAAAGACTCACGTGGGAGGTAGATATCTGCTAACCTCATGAGGCATGATTGATTAGCCTATCATGCAGGACTGGCCAATAAAAACCTGGAACCCTAAGACTCAGAGAGCTTCCTGGTTGGCGAAGGGAAGGTCAAGTGCCCTCTCTGAGACACATCACCTCCACATTGAGGACCTTTCCAGACCTCACCCATGCATTTCTTCCTTATGATGACCCTGATTTATTTTCTTTTACTATCATAAAACCAGTAGTTGTAAGTATAATATCTTCTGCGAGTTCTGTGAGTTGTTCCAGAGAATTAACGAACCCAAGCATGGTGATCTTTTAGCTTATGAGCTCTGACTTAGCCCTGGGGTGGCTAGGGGCTAAGAGAGAGTGTGTTGTGTGGGTGGCTACTGTCAGAAATGGTGGAAAAGTGGCAACACAAGGATATACGTGATCTCCACCTTATAGGAATCGGCTTTATGCTAATTCTCATCCACAAAGTTATCACTTTATAGGCTAACAAGTTTGCATATTCAAATGGGCTGATAAATGACTCTGAAAATACTTTTCACGCTGTATGCAAATGAAACTTACCTGAAGGGATGTCAGTGGCATTAATAGTGAGATGAGCAAAAGGTTGAGTATCAGGTTTGCCCCTCCTAGCCAGGTCTAACCAGGAACCTTCCACCATAGCTGGAGATGAGAGAAACCACGTTAGCTCAGTGAATAGTGACCCTATAGAACTTCAAATATTTGTAGATTCAAGTTTACCTTTCTCTGCTTTGATGTGTTGTGATCCAACAATATGTTGTAATTCCTGAAAAGAAATGGGAAAAAAAAATATTGTTTATACACTCACTCTGTCTATAAAGCAGTTTAAGAATTCAGGACTGTTGGATATACAATAAATTAACCCTTTCCTTTAAAAGATGCTAAAAGTACACAGGCAGTGAAATTCCTTAATGTTCTAGGTAGTTATCAAAGGATGTGCACCCCAAAGAATTACATCGATGTGCTTAAAAACTACACCTCACATACCATCTAACAAAATACTTTGGACAATAAGAGGAAATAAAAGATTTAATGTAATTTACAAAACATGGAGTAATTGAACATAACTAAAACTATGTAGCAGGTACACAAATGAAGATGAAGTCAACTAGCAAAATAACAATTACGCGGAATATATGACCCTCTTAAATCTGCAAGGAGGTTCTTTTTATGTCTATTTCATTGCTGAATTCCTGTCATAACATTGGCGCTCAGCCCACAAGAAAGAGAATGATGCTTAGCTCCCGTGGCTAATTTTTCATTTTAAAAAGTCACACTGTATTTAAAGTACTATATGGAAGACTAACAGCTTTTAGAGTACCAATAATTAACTTAAAATATTGCTGCAAATAGAGGTTTAAAAGCACAAGCCAGAAAAATAAAGAATACAATACATAAAAAGTGTGGGGAATTGCCATATCTCAATTTGAGTAATGAAAATGAAGAATCCATTAAGTAATGACATGCCCACCTGAATCAAGACCTTAGCTAATGTTACATGTCACATCTTGGGACATAGCAAGGAGTGGATGAAAGCTCAGCTTTGACCTCGATTCAAATGCCTGCTCAGCCACCTACCAATTTACACTTCAGTTCCTCATCTGTAAATTGCAGATAATAACAGTACCTTTGTCAGAGAGGGTGGCTGTGGAGATTGAACAAGATAATGCATGAAAGCACTTAGCATGTTGTTGCTGTTAGCTGTTACCGAGTTGGTCCCCAACTCATGGCGACCCCATGAGTTGGGAAACGCTATCCCCATGATCGGTCCTACACCATCCTCATGATCGACTGCAGATTGAACCATTGTGCCAGTGAAAACCCTATGGATCACAATGGTCCAATCCGCACTTAGCATAAATCAAAACCAAACCCGTTGTTGTCAAGTTGATTCCTACTGACAGTGACCCTGTAGGACCGAGTAGATCTGTCCCATAGGGCTTCCAAGGCTGTAATCTTTATGGAAAAACCCTGGTGGCATAGTGGATGAGTGCCACGGCTGCTAACCAAAAGGTCAGCAGTTCGAATCCACCAGGCGCTCCTTGGAAACTCCATGGGGTACTTCTACTCTGTCCTATAGGGTTACTATGAGTTAGAATTGACTTGATGGCAACGAGTTTGGTTTCATTTTTTGGAATCTTTATGGAAGCAGATTGCCACATCTTTCTCTCACTGAGCAGCTGATGGGTTCAAACCACTGACCTTTAGTTAGCTGAGTGCTTTAACCACTGTGCCACCAGGGCTCCTTAGCATAAACCAAAAAAAAACCCACTGCCATCGAGTTGATTCCGACTCATAGCGACCCTATAGGACAGAGTAGGACTGCCCCATAGGGTTTCCAAGGAGCGGCTGGTAGATTCGAACTGCCAACCTTTTGGTTAGCAGCCCTATCTCTTAACCACTGTGCCATCAGGGCTCCATTTGAAAAAAAAAAAAAGAAAAAGAAAAAGAAAAAAAACCAAACCCGTTGCCATTGAGTTGATTCCGACTCATAGCGACCCTATAGATGGAGCCTGGTAAATTCAGATATCTAGATGTTAGAAACATCTGGAGAGATTTCTGATTTCTCTGTGGCTGGGATGACCATTCAGGCTAACCATTTCCCCCCTGATGTCAAAAGATAAGCCACCTAGCTTAAGTTTGTTAGAGTGTCTGAAGAGGAAGGCTTTGAAATACATACAGACATGCGTACATGCAACAACAAGCATCAAGTGTTATCAGGCTGGAAGGGATCTGGAGATAAAGCAACATTTATTCTTCTCTCTGCCTTCAGGACATGATAGTCTAGTCTATTTCTAAAGAGCTCAGCTGTCTATTCTGAAGTCCTAAAGAAGTCACCGCATGGCTGACTTTAGAAAGAAACCTTAAGGGCTCACCCAGGGCTACCCCTGCCGTTGCTTAGACCCAGGGCTGCTACACTGCACAGTTCTGGGGGCACCATCTGCAAGGGGTTCTAGGCCAGTGGCGGCCCTTGGGAGTTGTGCAATGCAATGGCCCTTTCTAGACCTCATTCCTCTTCCCACTCTGTCCAAGATTTATTTCTCTCCCCTGCTGACCTCCCGTCTCCCAATCTCACGGCCTTTGGATTCCCAATGGTGCCCTGATTTCTGGAATTTCCTGGTTTTGCTTCCCCTGCATTCCCAACAGGGATTTTTATATACACAATTTTTCTTTATACGTGCATACATACACAATGTACAATATATATCAAGACAGTCCCTACATGGTACAGAGGGTTAAGTGCTAGACTAGTAGCCAAAAGGCTGGCGGTTAGAGCCCACCCAGAGGCCCTTGAAGACAGGCCTGGCAATTTGCTTCTGAAAGCCACACCCTTGAAAACCCTGTGGAGCAGTTCTACTCTGCACACGAGGTGGCCATGAGTTGGAATCGACCCGACACCACCAACGAAAACAACACCACCACACACACAAAACGTATCTTTATACATTGTGTGTATCGTTATAAATTTATATATACACAATGTATTATATACACATACACAATGCGTCTATGTACACTGTATATATATGATGTGGTGAAACCCATGTGAAATTGTGCACTGCAAACTAGTAAGCACAAGTAAGCCCGTGTGTACCTTGCCTACTGGTTAATCCGCCTCGGAGAAAAACAAGAAAAGAGCAGTCAGTTGGACTGGGGGAAGCCCCAACAATTTGCATTTCTAACAGGGGAGCTGCTGCTGCAGGCCTGGAGCCTGCCTCAGTTTGAGAATGGCAATCCACTCATATTCCAAAAGACGCACAGATGGGCAAGTAGGAGGTTGGCTGGGAGCTTGAGGCTCAGGCCAACGAGCAGCTGACTGAAACCAGTAATTAACTGGGCAAGGAAAGTGTGTTCTCTCCCACCTGGAAATGAATGCTTCCCGCCCGTTTGATGAACGGCTTCTAACCAGGGCTTCAACAGGTTTGTTCCCTTTGAACCCCTGCTAGAAATCTGCATTTCTAACAAGGTCCCTGCTGACAATTTGCATTCCCACCCAGACATACTGAGTCAGAATCTACAGTTTAACAAGATTCACAGGTGATTCTTATGTATAACTCCTGGAAACTTGTTAGAAATACAAGTTCTCAGCAGGGGTTTGAACTGGAACCAACCGGTTCGAAGCCCTGCTTCTAACTCAGCTGCCACAGACCCATTCTGTGTGAAACAAATTCAACAAGCAGCACTTCTCAAATGCACTTTCAAAATCAGCTTTAAAAAAAGAAAAAAGAAAAAAAGGCATTATGATCCAGGCTGAATTAAAACTCTAGCTAAAGAGACCCATGAGGTAATCTTGCTCTCACGTTATATCTATCGTCGGGCATGCAAAAAATTGCAATTCCTCTCAGGAACCCTATGGGGAGTTTCAGTGTGAAAACTGGGGTGCGTGATCTGTCTACAACTTCAGGCTACAAAAAATGTATTCTCAGTACCTGTTCTTGTTCTGCACACCCCTCCCCCCATCTTTGATCATTGTTATGAAACATTGGTATTTCAGTGGTAGAATTCTTGCCTTCCATGTGGGAGACCCAGGTTCAATTCCCAGCCAATGCCCCTCATGTACAGCCATCACCTGTCAGTGGCGGCTTGTGTGTTGCTATGATGCTGAACAGGTTTCAGAGAGGCTTCCAGATTAAGACAGATTAGGAAGAAAGGTCTGGCAATCTACTTCTGAAAATCAGCCAGTGGAAACCCTATGGATCACAACGGTCCGATCTGCAACTGATCATAGGAATGGTGCAGGTCCGGGCCATGTTTCCTTCAGTTGTACATGGGGTCACCATGAGTCGGGGCCAATTCATGGCAGCTAACAACAACAAAGATCGTTGTTATTCATTTGCATAGCTGTCAACTTATGAAGACAACATTCTTCTAAGATAATATTTTTAGGATGTCTCTGCAGAGGTGTAACTAAGGTACGGCAGGTAGGGCGTGTGCCCTGGCTGCCGCTTGAGGAGCGGCGCTAAGGAGCAGTTTGTATTGGCCATGAGTTTCCCTCCCCAGCTGTGAGAGCTCATTCAGCAATTGACAAGTGATTGCCATAGGCGCTATTTTCTGTAGACAGGCCCTGTGCCTTCGGACTGTAAGTACAGCAAGTCTTTGGGCTATGAACAAGATCCCTTCCTGAGTGTGCCTTTAAGAATTTGTGGGTAAGTTTGAACAGGTCCGTACGGTTCTTATTTAGCCCGACTTTAGTGCAAGAAAAGGCTCAAAGCTTTTTCAGTGATTTAAAAACTGCAGGTGCAGCAAATGAAGGTGACTGTGATGAAGAATTTGTTGCAAGTAGGGGTTGGCTCAATCGTTTCAATGTGTGGGCAACTTTACATAACATTAAAGGGCAAGTACAAGTTGTCCTTAAATCAGAGGTCGGTAATCTGGGGATTTACTGTAAGCTTTCACAGGTGGGCTTGATGCGTCCCAGTGGGGACTCTGACTGCCCTTTAGAACCACCTGGAAGCTTTTAAAAGCCCCTATGCCCTGGCCCCACTCCCAGCAAGCCTCCACTAACTGGCCTGATATCCACTTGGTAGTGTTTAAAGAGGCTCTCCAGGTGATTCTAATATGTGACAGGTGTTGGGAAACATTATTACTAAATGAGTGTCCCCATGAATAGTTGTTTGGTAACACCTGTATTTAATCACAGATTTATTCTAGTCTCACAACTTAGATATAGCCCACACACTGGAAATTTAAAAATAATCACATCTGTAGCCACCAAAGCGTTTTCCTGCATATTTGATTCTTATTAGAATTGGAGGCCAGATAACT